AGAGAGGCATTTCCTCTTGAGTGGTGCAGTCTCCCTGTGACAATATGTACTACCCGTAAAGTCTTGAACAGCCTCATGAATGGGGGATGTTGATCTTCACAGAAGGGTAGGTAAAACGTAGTGCCATCAGCATCAGCGAGGGTTTTGCCATGGCTTTCAGCTTTTCATCCTTCCTGAACAGTTGTCAGCATATAAAATGGATTACCTTCGTGCTTCCTCTTCTAAAAATGGGCACAGAGACAGAGAGAGAGAGAAAGAAAACACTTTCAGAGCTTTACTGGTAGCTGCTGAGCACAGGAGATGTTATCTAAAGTGGTGTTTTACACAGCTGGAGAAAAGTTCCTTTTATATATATTATTCTTTATCAGTTTAACTTCCCTCACAGCTGATGAGATGGATCTTTCACTAAATCACAATAAGGTCGTTGTGCTTTCAGTCATACTTTTCCCCATGGAGAAAAAACACCTCTCGCTCGCAGCATAAGGATTGTAACTCCAGATTAAAGATAAAGCAAAAGAGCAGAAATGAGGTCTCTGTGAAAGAGCACCCTGTCTCCCTTCTTCCTGTAAGAGGCTGCAGATGACCAAACCGCAGACAGACAGCTCCTAAAATTGTACATGTGCATTATACCATGAACAAAATTGGAAGTTACATACCCATATACCCCACCGCTTTCATCTCCGCCACACAGGAGCATGCATTGCTGCCTTTCCGAGGAAAAATTTTTGACTTTGATATGATTGAAAATACCAGGCTTATGTAGCACACTGCTGAACAATTTAACCGACTTGATTCATTCGTTCATTCTTGTGAATATGAGGCACAGTATTACTGCTATTAATTTAATAACTTTATTCAAAAGTTGTAAAATCCTTATCACTGATGTCTGATCTCAGATTCGGGGGAAAAAAATCACCCATTTCTTACATGAAGCTTATAGTAAGGTCTGGTTTCCAAAAGAGGGCTACATTCTGCAAGATCCCATGGACATGCGCTCAAACAATTCTGGTTAATGAACCTATGTAATGAACTGCCATCCTCTTTATATTCCCACTGATGCTATAATTATTACAATTCATGTGCTTCTTTTATGTTTGTGAATATATGTATGCTGTGTTTGCTCATCTAGCTAGGCACAGCATGTCATATGTTGAATATTTCTCTTGGGAGGGAAATTGTCAAATGCAGAAAAAGTTCACAGCCTAATTAAGAAATGAAGTATTTTTTCCATCTCATGTTGTACTTCTTGTATCATACCTCCTTCTCAACTGGAAGATATTTTTGTAGTGGTGGAGACGATAGACAGAAATTGTGATTGCATTTCAATGACTGAGGGTAAATATCATGTATTCACATGTTGATATATTTTAATTTGCAGGAAGGTTTTTTTTTCCCCATATATATATTTATTTAGGTATAAGGAGTAAAAGGAAAGTGAAACAAAGGAAATAATGAAGAGCTGTGGGTAATGCACCAGTTGTGAGAAGGATGGAGAACTCTGTCTTGGAAAGTAGGGGCTATTTGTAAAGTAGGCGATTTGGAATCCATGGCTAAAAAGCAGCTGGAAAGGTTGTCTCAGAATGACAAAGAAAGACCTAATGTGATTCTTCAAGATGTAGATGGAAATACTGAGAAAATTATAGAGGATGGTAATAATAGTGACATACGTGGCATCAAGTCTATTTCTGAGGTAGGGTGTGCAGGATGGGAGGTACCTACCCTTTGAAAGTATGTTGACATACCAGAAAACCTCTAGGAAAAAAAGCCCTGAGAAGAGGGAACCTACCTTTCCATAGAGACTTGGAATAAGCTTAATCTATTTCATTTATCCACAGTTAATTAAGAGATAGTTTGATCATGGTCCATAATTATCTACAGATGAAGATGTTTGATATGTACAAACCAGTTAAACTAGCAACGCCAGCATAAGAAGATCTAATGACTGGAAAAAAGACAGTGATGCATAGAGTAAGAATAAAATGCAAAGGGTACTTTAACACTGGAACTATTTCCACATGGCAGATTCATCTTCATCTGAAGATTTTATATCAAGCTTAATGTCAGCCTGAAGAAACAGGCTACCTTGCCAAGAACTTAGAGGCTTGATGCATGGATTGCAAGGAGAATTTCTACTGCCTGTTCTATCCAGAAGGCCAGCTGGTATCAGATCAACGTAGGGTTGATGTAAGATTAATAGCAGCTTGTGATCATTGCTGATGAAAGTGAGCTCCCAGAGGATGAGTTGGTGACTGTCTATCCATACTGAGATTAAAAAAAAAGAGATTTTGAGGATGTTTATTGGCTTGTCTGAATGAACTGTTGATCAGTTATAGGCAGCGAAGCTTCCTTTTTACTCAGAAAACAAGGCATAGGCTGATCTATTTTTCATGTCAGTGTGAAAGACTATTGGCGGGAGACAGTGTGCATAAAGCACACCATATTACCTAGACCACTAAAAAATTATTATCTAATTACTTACCTACCTCAAAATTCTTACTTCCTAGCTGCTTCTTTTATTCGGCCAGAGTTTCTTCAGAGTCTTCATCTGCAAAAGGTGCTTCAGTATGCTGAGCTCCTAATAACTGGAAACAAAATGAGGAACATTCATTCTGGAAGGAAAGTACACATTATTAACATATTTTTATGTTGATTAGAGCTCAGGGCTTCATTCCCTGTACAGTCACTTCCTTGGAGATCAGAGTCGTCAGTGAAACTTATGTTTCCATCTTGGGTCAGACTAAAGGTTCACCCATCCTACTGAGCTATCACTGACAGTTGTTTGGAGCAGGTACCTGACATGCATAGTGTGATTTGTCATGTGGTGTGTCCATAGAGATCACATCTGGATTGTTGTATTTCTGAGTCACCAGTGGATTTATACTTTAGAAAACTGTCTAATCCTTTTTTGAGTCTGTTTATACTCTTGGATTGTATAACGTGCCATAGTAAGGAACTCGCATTTCAATTTGGTTTTATCATCTATTTTAAACGCACCTTATTTTGACGTATGCTGCCTGGTCTTCCTGTTATGAACAATATGAACAACCTTCTTGTTCTTCACATTATCACTGATTACTATTGGATCTCCTTCAGCCATCTTTTAAGGTAGTTTTTAAAAACATAAAAAGTCCCTATTTGTTCAATTATTGCTGGCACAGAACCACTCTGTGTCTGCTCATTCTTTTGTACTTCCTTTTCCTAATTCTGCTGTAACTTTCTATTATACTCTGACCAGAACAACAAGGTGTATCTAAGATGTGGGCACATCAGAGGTCTAATAAATTCAGTGTTTTCTTTGGAAATTATTTCCAAATTATTCTCGGCAGTGTTTACTTTATGAAAACTAAGGAGTAACAAATTCACATTTTCATAAAGCAACCCAATCTGAGATTTCTTTCTTGAGCAGCAGTATCTTGCTTAGATCTGATCTATCCGTGTTATTTTGCCCTTATTGACAGGAATTTTAGCCACCATTTTATTGCACAGGCAGTTATTATGAAAGTTGTAGGGAATTTCTACTTATGGTTTTAGTTTTGACTACCCTCAGTAATTTTATATCATCTTCAAACTTTGTCCTTTGACAATATGCATCCTTTCCCAGCTTAGTGTTTTACTGAAAAAAGAATGGGAGAGAAAAAAAAGAGAAATTTCTTTTCATACTAAAATATTAACGTATACATTTAAACACAATTTCATCTGCTACTTTTCCTATTTTCATGTTTGCTGTTTTGTATTACAAGAAAGTTTCAATCTCTGGGGAAAATTAGGGACCAATTAAGAATATTTCTTTAATCACAAATTTTGAGTGCTGCTAACACTAAGGTATATGCTATCTGACCAACAAATCTTACATTTTATTGGCTGTCTCATTTTGTTCTCTTTCATATTTCACATTTATGATACGTTCAGACATATCCCTGTTTTGTTAAGTAGGAATCTGTGTGGTCTTTGATGTAGGACATAATTTATTTGACAAGGAAATATGAGACGGTGCCCTGAATCTGCGTTTAATTGATGGATTGAGAATTTTTAGCATTGTAACAAGACAGATTCTCATCCAACGTGTCACGGAAGGAACGTTCTCTTAATCTGTTCTCCTGTGAATTAAAGTACATGTATATATTTTGAGTAGTAAATTTAAAAATTCTTTACTGAAGGAAGTTATCAGGGTTTTCATACATGTCTGACATCCAAATACTAAAAGTGATTGATCCTATTATCTGTTCATAAGGGTATTTTTATATCTATGAGAACTGAGTGCTCCATTCTGAAAAGTCTTCAGTAAATATCACTAACATTGCCAGTGAAGACTAGCTCTTGTGCTGCATTAGGGCTGGATATAAATAAAACCCTTTTTTATCAATACAAACTTCATGAGTTTGTGCTTGTAATTAAACCTTCTGCCACTTAGTCATCAATCAGTTCCATTCAAAAAAAAAAAAACATCACCAACTATTAATTGATAATTGCATTATTCTTCCATGTGATAGGACTGTATAGCACACCAAGAGCTTTCAGAGACTTCAGTGAAGTGCAGAGTGCTTTAACTTGCCATCTTATACAGTATTCTGCTTGTTACTATTTCTGTTTATTATCTTCACAGGTCTTTCGGCTATCACCTAAAGTTATGGGATGCCCTCAATCTGAGACAACTGTCTCTTACCATTTATTTATTAACTACAATGCAACCCCCTGCTACTGATAGTTCTTGTGACATTTTCATAAGGTGAACAAGGACAGATTTTTGGCCACCTTCATTTCTGCCAGGATTTCTGCTTCTTAAGTAATGTATTACAAAGCTGCATCAGTGCTGGCAAGTAACCAGGCCTCTGAACAGCATGTTTGCAATATACCTTTGTCTACTTTTTCCTCATAGCAAAACGAAATATTAAGCATGGCTATTGAATCAATGCTAGTATTTTGCCTAAACTTCTGCTCCTATAGATGTCAATAAAAATGCTGCTATCAACTTTAGCCGTAACAGGATTTGGCCAAAATACCAGAACGTAATTGTTGGCAAAGAGCCCAGTCCTCCACCACTGAAACAAGTGGTAATTTTGCCATTCACATCAGTAGAAAGTGGATTGAAGTCTAACGTCTTTAAGTCGATGCCTCTCTGTTTCACAGAAACAATAAAACAAGATTATAAACAAGGTATGCAATTTTGCTATTTTTTTCCGCATCATTGTAACTTCAGAAAAATCCACAAAGGAGCCTATAGATATTCCAGCACTAGTAAAGTTAAAATAAGAGATCCCGAAATGTATTTTTCCCAAACTATCAAGATACATGCGTGTTTATGTATATATTAGGTTTAAAATCTTTTATGTCTTTAAGTCAGGAGGTAAATTGTGCAATTCAGGTGGTTGATCTAATATTTTTGCTTTTTGGATTTGATTAATTTTGGACTAGTTTTTTCATGTCTTTATTGTTTTACAGATTTTTTTGATAGAAAAATCAGAAATTAGCTAGGTGCTGTGATTTGTTTCTGAGAAGGGTCTAAGAAATTGCCAAGCAGCTTCTAATTTTTCACACAATCTTGAATATAAGGAAGTAAATCCTCAAAACCCCAAGAAAACATGATAGTTAAATAATGAGAGATTGCTATCTTCATGTTTTAAGTTTCTTCTTGCATTTCAGTGTCTATATGTAGAGGATGAGGAAAAAAAAGGAAGACTAACAATTCAGATGTTTATAAAATTTGTCTAGAAAATTCTAGTCACTGAAGTCAGATTTTTACATTTATATTTTACACTAGGCAAGAGGATATCATGGTCACAACAGCAAAAGAATTAGAAAAGAGAGGGCATAAGCAGCAATTAATATTAAAATATTTGATTGATTATTGACTTTTGATTTATTTCTCCCACAATTCAGCTAAAGGCTCTTTCTTTCCTTCAGGATTTTAATGTGACACTTGTAATCTACAGTTGCTTCCCTCATACTTTATTTTGCCTTCATTATCACTGATTGAATTTGGTAAATTTGATTTTTCTAAGGTAACCCTATGGATCATCACATGATCCAGAATGTTCTCCTTTTCCCCTTCAATTCCTATTGAGGTCCTGCAGCAGGATGTGTGGTTTGATGACTGTTCATCTCTTCCTAGGACTGGAACCAGAAGACACCTACACACACAACCTATTGGTTCACAGGGATTTCTTGATTACATGTCTTCTATTTCGGGTCCTTTAGCAACATAATGAAATAAAACATACCTTCCTTATGCCTCTGATGCTGATGGGCTGTCTCAGTAATTTGAATTTGTAGTACACGTATATTTGATTGCTTCTTTGCATGCCCTGTGGGAACTATCCCCTTCCACCAGCAAACTCTACTCCCTTCTTTCCACTTCACCCAGACAGAATTAACCAGGAAATGGCCTATGCAAACTGTTCTTTCTTGACATTTGACTAACTGTCTTTTGGTGGTTTGGCTGTTTGTTTTCTTCCCACCTCCACCCCTGAGAGTACAATTTTAGCTGCTTTATAGAAGATAGACTTTTGTGTCCAGTGCTTTGCCATAATTATGAATGTGAACCAACAAAACCAAAACCAACAGTGGTGGCATTCCTCAGACAGTGCACCGTAACAGCAGCAGTCTGTTACAGAGAACAGATATGGCCACACCAGTGGCATTCCAGCAGTGGAGAATCATCACTGTTAGTCAACATCAGAAGGTCCATACTACCTAGCTAAATCCAAAAGTCAAAGGAAGAGGCAAATACATTTATTTGCTAGTGACACAAATGGCAACGTACTCGTCCAATATCCCTTAACAGAACAAAGGCAATCTGTGCTACAATCAGTATCAAGACTGCACTTGTAAAAACTTCCTGAAAAGCAAATTTTAACTGGTTTCATGACATCTTACAGAGCCTTTAGGGACTAGACTGGTGACCCAGAAAGCCTGTCATTTTTTTTTCCTGAACCAGGATTGCAAAAATCAGCCTGCATATTCCAAAATAAATATAAAAATAAAGGTGAGGTAATATACAGCAATGGCCTCCTTCAGTTGTAACCTCTCTCTCATTTTTACCTTGCCTGCAAATTTGTGCAATAAAATAATCGACATTTTTCATCATTATGTCTTTATATCTTTCATAAGAGAACCACTCTCCTTGTTATCTTTATTCACTGCTGTAAAAAAAAAAAAAAAAAAAAAAAAAAAGATCATGTCCCTTACTTCATAAAACAATGCCTTTTTTAAAGCCTTCATTTTAGAGCTAGCATTAGGCCATGATGAATTGCTGAATGGTTGATTTCCTGACACTCTTTTTTCCTTTCCTGACAGCTTCTGGATTGCTCTACCTGGTAATTTGCACTATAATAATGGCTACAGTGAGATGTCTCCCAACTATTTCCTTTATTTTTAACAAGATTCTTAACACCCTCTGTAGGTGACAAAATGCAATTACAGACATGAAGTGTCCCCCGGAGGATGGTTGTTCGCAGATGCCACCAGTACTTCAGCAGCACAACTGTTCAATGAAACGAAAACAAAGAATCAGATTCTCTAAACATTCAGTTCAAATAAAAAATTAATTAAAAGTTATGAAGGCATTTTATTGATTAACAATCTTAGTAATTAAATAGTGTGGTTGACATTTTTTTTGGTTGGATTTGTTCTTCCTTGGAGATCTCTAATTGTTGTATGGCTTTACATTTATTGATAACTCTGTTTGATGAATACAGATGCCACCTTTTATGGTAGTCGTTGACAGAGTAATCATATTGTGAGAAACACCAGGCTTATGTAGTAACAGCTGTTGCAGTTATACATGCTGATATCCATTGGGAAAATGTGTTTGCTGCTATCATGGGTACACAATAAATGGAAGGTGCAATAAAGCACAAGCTAACATTTTGAAAATCCTTACAACTCTAGGAACTTTATTGCAGATTACAAGCACTTTGATCTCTGTCCAGTACTTAAGTCTTAATTATCAGACTAATTGCACAGACTATGTTCATTTTCAGTGGTAATCCTTTTGTGATTAGCTTCTGTGTTCAATAACTGACTTATCCTTTAATTAAAAGGACTATTAACCTTAAGGCTGCTGCTGTGGCTTGGGATTAAACCTATACAGAGTTAATATTTAATATCATTGTAAAAGCCTTTGGTGAAAGGTATAGAATGAAAATATAGTGATTCTGTCCTTTACCGTAACTTGCTTTAAGAGATAGCTTCATTATATATCAGTATAATGTATTTTACTTTGACATACTACTAGCTTTAATCCATTAAGGACATGCAAGAATATGTATGCACTTTAAGCCCTTTTCTCATTTGCAGGCAGGGCATACTCACATTGGATATTTCCCAATTCTTTCTATACAGTCATGATCAGTGGTTGATCTGCAACACAACCAAAAAAAAAAAAAAAAAAAAAAAGGAAAAGGAAACACAAGAGCAAGCATTTAAGATCCTGCTTTTCCCCCAATATTAAAATATTTTTATATTAAGGGGCTGGGCAGTTCAATTTTTGCTCATCTGGCGGTGAGAAATCTATTTGGGCAAAGGGAAATGTTACGTGAAATGATGTGCTATGGAGGAAAAGGTTCTGCAGTTTTGCCCAGGGCCACTGCAATCCAACTGTTTGAAAGACTACGAAGCAAATCCAGAGTCATCAATGCCCAAGTGTGTAGACTCTGCCAAAAAGCCAGATGCTGCTATGGGAAGCATTATGTATCTTTTCTAGTTTGGCATCTGGGTTCTGCTATGAGCAGCCATGCCTAATGTCTGTCTGCGACTTAAGGTTCTACTGCTGCACTAATAACTTTTTATATATACACACACACATATATATATAAAAAAGTCCCTTCTACTCCCTCTCCCCCACCATCTAGTCATTCAGATTGCTTCAAAAGCAAGCCAGGTGCAAAGTCCTAAAAATCCACTCTCCTCAATAGCCTCAGTGACTCATGTGGTGGTGTGGTATCTGTTGCTAACTCCATATACATTTTTCTCATTCTTCTGATTGTGGTGAAGGAACCTGATAAAACTAGACTTCTCAGAGACACACTTCTTCACTGAAATTGTTTATTTTCTATACAGTTATCTGAGGTTAAGACTTAACTATCAGTTACTTGCCGTTAATGAAGGCTAATAAATATTAACCAGCTGCTCAAAAGACTTACAAATTGAAGGGGAAAATTTATTATCTCATACCCATATGTAAGGCAGCGAAAACACTCCTTATCATTTCATTGGGATTATTATCTCACTTTCAAAGAAAAAAAAAATCCTCCTTTGTATGTGCGCTATTCTAGGAATTAGTATAAACCAGCATTGCATTTGTGCAAGAGTTTCCTCCAGTATGTTACTTTTCTTGTATTACTCAAATGATATATATAGTGAGGGTGACCCAACCACGAATGAACTGGAGATAAAAGCAGCATTGTATTTGAAATCAATAGAAGTGACTTGTGGCCTGTGATGGGAGTGTCTGGCTCCAGAATTATTATCTGGTGTTAAGTGCTGACAATGCAATAGGATCTTTACAAGACATAAATACAGTGAGGGATCTCCAGAAGCCTGATGCCAGCCGGGGAAGCGAGTCCGGCCAGGCTGCCTGTACGGGCTGTGATGGGAAGAGACTCACGCCCACACTTTTCCGAAGACAGATGAAGAGCACAAACGGAAGCATCTCCTGTCAGATGTAGAATGAAAGGCTGTAGTGCTCTGCATTAAAATTTCCACATGTGCTATTCTAAGCACTTTAACCAACAGCAAATTTGACTGAGTTCAGAAATTTGGGAGTGGACCTGGGACATGTTTGCTGAAAGTTACTGACTTTCATATATTGGGGGATTTGGGGTTTACTTTGCGTTTAACTATGGTACTCCAGTGATTCTTGGCAATTCTCTGTTTCGTCTTACTAGTCTGGGTTGCAATAAGATTGTTGATACTCATTGTTTTTACATAGTCATAGCTAGCTAATCTTTAGCTGCCTGCTAATAAAAAAATACTGAAAACTCAAGGAGAATTGAGACTCCTGGACTAGTCACCTAATAGTTTGAGAAACAGGAACTGAATACGGAGAAGACATTTCCCTTTTCACTGACTGCAGAGAAAGATGAGCCTGCCTATATTAAAGCTGGTGTCTCTCCAAAA